CCTCTTCTTACTAACCAAAAAGAAGTAAATATCTGCAAAGATTAGGGCTGTATGCACATCAAAATTTCAGTGATCGGCAAGCCAATCACATCCCTAACTGCTGGATCATCTCTCCTGACAGAGCAATGAGTTTAGAAAGCTCTTCAGAAATTAATCTTTAAGTCTAGCCTGAGGAAGTGTTTTTATATCCTTAGTTTTAATGAAGAGCAAGCAGAAAGAAATGTTTAGCATTATAACTAATGTCCTCTCTCTCTGATTTTTTACACTTGTAAAACAGGCAGTTGGTACTTAGATATTAAGTGAAGGCCATAGAGAAATTGATTTTGATTACACATATAGACATTTCTCCACTATACAAATGGATAAAATGAGACACAGCTGTTAACTGAGTCCCCTCACTGACATAATAAATTACGAATTAACTTATCAATCCCTCAAGAGGCACTGTTCAAGTAAAAAATACTTAAAAATAAGTAACGTGCATTTTGTAATGTCTTCAGGAATTCAGTGTCTCTGTGTTTTAAGGCTTCAAGCATGATGTACCAATTTTCCAGCATTTGGCAATATCCATTTGTAAGTTTGTAGCGTTCCTCAACATCAGATTTTCTAAACTGATTTATATGACAGGTGTAGAAGAAACAGATCGTGCATACCTAGAGCAGTTTTAAATTAATGGAAAGATATTTATATTTCTTCCTTTTCAGCCAAAAATCATGTTACAACACAAATAAGTCAAGTTAAAGATGCCATAGTGTGAAGCATTTTAAAGAAAAACTAAACTAATTTTTGAGGCAGACTTAGTACCACATTCTTATAAAGTCACAGCCCTGAAGGGTAAAAGAAATTAAAACATGTTAAGGCTACTTTTGCTTTTCATAGCTCAGCAGAATGTGTTTACACCAGTCACACCGTTAATTGTCTGAATGCCTAAAAATGCCATACAAAGTGGTTACCTTGAACCTTGAATTTTTTATTCAAATATTAAAAATAAACTACTGTTTTTACTCTCTATTTTTTTAATGGTTTTCTCTAAGGTTTATTGTACTTCAAACTCTGTATTATAAGCCATGAAGAGCAATTATATCCTAAAGTATGGTGATCACTGCTGAATATGATACTTCAGGTGAAGTATATAACTAGTAATCAGGCATTATTAATTCCATTTAGTTTGATTTATCATCTGTTTCTCCAGGAATTAAATATAGTATTCTCTCTGACATGTGGACTGTAGTTAGAAATTCAATAGCATGCTAGAAGAGATTGGTATGATAATGCCTTGTTGGTCACTACATTGCAGCTTTCTTTAAAGTGTTAACTGTGAGTAAACTATTTGCCTACTTATATATATGTAAATATTAATAACTGAAACTTTTGACCTTGACAAATTGTGATCACTAGTACTTGAGCTATCTTGAATCACTTCATTTGCGATATTCTCATTAGATAGTCAAATTAGCTCTAAAATATACCTTCTAATTGCCTCTAAAAAGGATCCTGGTCCTCTGATGAGTTGACACACTGTTTTGACACATGTAGCTGATTTTTTTTTTTTTTTTGTACGAAAGCTTTTTCAGCTGAAAAATCCTTTTCCATAATGAAAATTTTCAATTAAAATATGGTTTCATTTTACTTTCCCAACAGTGAAAAATATAAAATTCCATTTTTATTTATCTAATCTAATTTTTAAATTTTGTTTTCTGTATCTTAATCTCCCTTTGTTTTTCATCCTTCACTTTGTACTATTATCTAGTCAAAAGATGGAAAGCACTAAGAAGCTAGGCAACAGTTCCCTCATATTGCACTTTTTCTAGAATTGCTGTTATATAGTTACTTACAACCTACAATATTTTTTTTCCTGTAAGTGTATGAGTTAAATAATGGGGTTGGTAAGGAGATGTGAATCAAATGGCAAGAGAAAGAGGAAGCACATGGAAGTCAGGAAAATGTTGTCAGTTAGAACTGTGGTCTTCATGACCATACTCATTGTTACTGTAGTGGTAGGAGCCGGGCCCTCCTTGTGTCATGCTCAAGATACATAAAAATAGGGATTTAGAAGGATCTGACGTTCTAGCCAGACTTCAGGTGTGCCACTTGGCTGCTACCTAAGCTACAGACATGAATTTCCTAAGTGACACAAATTTTGATAGCCACTGAAGTTCTTCATGCACTGGTAGCTGTACTTTCTTGCACATCCCAGTGTGCACCAGATGTCTCTGGTACCTGTCCTATGCTTAAGGCCAGCATGAATCTAAGCTTAGATGATCTCTCAGCAAACTTACTTCAGAGCCTCAATGCAGCAAAGGGGCCAGCATACCAAAAGTAGCAAATTTCACTGGCTTTCAAAGCAGAAACTGACATGGCATGCCTGCCATATCCATAGGTTGATGATTGCAATCCTCCAACTGTGATAATCAGGCTGAAAAATAATTAGCCTGGTGGGAAAAGGAGAATTCCTAGCCACATCAGTGGTTAAGATAATGCTATTCAACAAAGTATGTGGCTGATAAGGCAAGTGAGCTGTGGGGACAAGACACTGAGGAGAGAGCACTTTCTTTGACCAGCCCAAATGCTGACAAAACAAATGTGAACTACATGCTCATCTCCATTTGTGACCTGGTTGCAGTTCAGCAGAACTCTTAAATACACATCCAGGTGCCACTAAGGAAGCAGACATCTGCATGCACTTCATGAGGAGCTAACACTGTACATCAACTCTGATTCTGGCCCATTAACTATGCAGCACTTAATAAAGTGCTTAAGGCTTACAGCCAAAATTATATAGCTGGAAAATATACCTGTCTTCCCAAATACAGTCAGGACTCAGGAACTACAGAAGTAAATAAGGCTAACAAGTTAGGTTTACTCAATCACTCACATTTTCATAAAATAGAATAATAGATTCATTAGTGTTGGAAAAGACCTCTAAGATCATCAATCCCAACCATTAACCAAAACAGTACAGTTTCAGTGGCCTGGTTAGAAGCACAAAATTTTGTTGTTCCATCCACCCCACTTCTTAACGGTCTGGTTGTTAATATATAACCCTGGGAGATGGGTGAATGAAATTCTTTCAAGCTGAAGAAGGACGTGAATCCAGCTACACTTCTTCCCAGATTGCTCATCTAACAGGACCTCTTAAATAATAAGAATTGTTTAATTCTTCATTATTTAATATTTTGAAAAGAAAATATTTTAAAAAACTATATATACATTCTGGAAAGATCAGCAACCTGTGACTACAGTGTTGGACATATGCATCTCTAAAAAATTCAACACAGCACAGCTTACCTCAGTATCTTTTTTAGCTTGCTGTTGGAAGATGTCTGCTGTGCTTGCTGGCTTTTCTGTGTCCTATGCTGAGGTCTCTAAATCTGCCACAGGCAGGACCTTGAAGTTGGGAATGAAGTAGCACAAGTCCTGTCTCAGAGCTAGCCTTTGAGACATAGCAAACATTTCCTGAATCATTGCTATTTCCTGACATTGCTGTTTCCTGAATCAGGGTCTACAGAGGAAAACTCACAGCAGCTTTAGAAGAAATTTCAGGTCTTGCCACTTTAATCACAAATTGAGAATTAACTAATCACTTTAAAGTTAAACAACTTCTAAAATTACTTTCTATAAACAGATGCACTATTAAAGCTGTTTTGTTTTTTGAGTGATTTTGGAGATGTTAATTTGCATGATCAATTAGTAGAGAACATGAGAAATACATGTGGCTATATGCTAACATTTTAAGTTTTTATTTAAACAGAACAGAAACATACCCTCTTTGATACTCAGATGACCTTCCAGATTTCCATGTACAGTATCTATGGATTTTTAAGCATAATTAACAACTTCCATTTCAGTATTTAAGAGCTTCAAGTTCTGTTTCTTTGACAGTCAAAAGCTAATCAATCTTGTTCTCAAATGCTAATACAAGCAATTAAAAATAACATTAATTGAAATACTGCAGGGGCTCTTAGTTTTTTTTCTTAACCTCATGGCAACACTAATTTACAGTACTAATTAGTGAATTGCCCTTTGTATTATAAATCTTTAGAAAGGAGAACTGGCCTTTAAAGCCCAACAGAGAGATGCAGATGGTCACTGCAGTTTCCGTAAGCTTTCATACTAACTATCAGGATATTCATTTCACCACATAACTAAACATGATGGATTACATTGTTTACAATGAAGAATATTAATTTCTGCAAAGAAAAGTGTGTTGCCCATTATTCCTATTGTAAAACATGCAAATATTCTTTATAGAATAAAGTATATTCTGCCCAGTTTTCCTGATTGGAAGAAAGACTGTAACTACCTCATGTGAAACAAATAAAATGGATCAAGACAACCTATGAAATATGGATAAAAATATATAACATACTGATTGTAAACAAGCATAATTTAAAACTTCTTGCTGAGCAATTAAAAATTCAAAAGAACAAAAAGTAAAAATAAAACTTATGAAGTAACAGTTAGAAAATTATTCCTATTTTCCTTAATGATTCTTTTCCAGTTTATTTTGTTGTAATGGCCAGTTTTATTCTGTAAACCAAGGCAGTTAGAATAGTTTCTTTTCCAGAAAATTACCAAAGGCTCAGGTGGTTCCTTGATTTAGGAACAAGATTGGTATTTTTTAGTGATCACACTATAATCTACGCAAATAAGAATACTGATTTTTCCTTGGAAGTTCCATTGTAGCATCATTCTTACACATAAATGTGAAAGTACACTTAGGTCCCTCTATAGTCCCGCAGGCTGATTTTTCATGTTATTTTCATGTATTGCTATTGTGGATTTTGGAAATCTGATAAGAATTTTTCACTTTTGTCGTGGTTTAACGTAGGTTCGGTATTAATGAAAAATCCGCGATCTATGGAAGTGACCCCTGTAAGGACCTTGGCAGCTTCCTTCGGACCTGACAGAACCAGTCAGCTGGCTAGTTTTGAATATTGATACCCTGTTAAACCACTTAAGAGGGCTAATGCGCCTCTGGAAATCACACAGAGATATATTTACACGTATTTACCCAAGACGAACAAGCCCCGGGAAAACTCTCTCGCTCCCGGCTTTGGAACAGGTCGCTGGCCAGGCCGGGCCCTGCTTTGCTGCAGACCGAGATTCTGCTGCCACAGAGTTCCAACCACGGCCCAGAGCCGGGCCGGGCCGGGCCGCAGTGCGGCCGGGAGCTGCCGAGCCACCCTGCTGGCCCCGTGGCAAATCCCAGGGCTGAGAAGAGAGGCAGCCCGGCAGCCTGGAGCAGAAAGCAGCTGGAACTGACCGCGGCAGGGGCCGGACACAGCCGTGCAGCCTGGGCGGCCCTGCCCGGCAGAGATCACACGGACATCCGCAGGCCCGGGAGAGATATTGGCTCTTCTAGTGCACAGAAGAAACTTGCAGACACCAATCCTCTGTAGTGAGATAAAAATGACAGGGTGAAGACATATAAAGAAAACAACCTGGAGACACCAAGGTCGGTGAAGAAGGAGTCAAATCCCAGATGGCAGGAGGATGAGGAGATGCCTTAGTCTTGGGCTGAAATTCTCTTGTAAGTCTATGGGGAAGTTATAATTGATACATCAGACCATTTTGGTTTTCCCCTGTAACTTGTGGAATGCATTGGGGCATGTATCATTCTAACCGCAGCCATGAGCAGAGGCACTTGTGTTGAAGCAAGCAGATGTTGAATAGCTGTGATCCATTGAGAAGCTTGAACAGAGAGATGAGAGAGATGAGAAACTTTGCCCCAGTGATGGACAAAGAAAACCTCTGTTCCCAGAAATAGAAGAAGAGAACTTTTGTTTCTTTACTAGAACGGTTTATCCTTAATATTGCACCCCAATAAACTGAGAAGCCCCATGGTTGTAGTTGTGGGAAGAGTACCAAACCATGGGAGGTACTTTGCAATTTGCAGATTTCTGGGTGGCTGCTATTCATGAAAACTAAAACCATGAGAGAACTGTTTCTTGTGGAAAAATCTCCTTGGCATGGTAGAAGAGACTCCTCTCCCTAAGTGAACTAAGGAAAGATTATTTTAGAAGTGAAAAACTGACTGAAAATACCAAATTTTTTCTCTTTATGTTTTCAGTGAAAAAAGAGGAGTTAGGGGAAAGAGGAGTGTTCTTAAGGCTTATTCTGATTTCTTATTATTTTTCTTTTAGTTAATAAAGTTTTCTTTATACCCTTTAACATTTTGGCCCTGCTTTGCTCTCCTCTTAATCCTTATCTCACAGCAGAAAATGAGTAAATAATTCTAGTAGGTGCACTGGCGTTTGGCCAGCACTAGACCCACTACATTAATTGGTGCATTGGCCAGGAAACTTGGATTGGCAAACCAAAAGCACTACAGCTTTTTAGTAACAGCTGAATGGAAATACATCATCTTGAATTTTCCACAGAAGACATCGTCTGTGCCATGCAGAATACCTGCTATTATACTCCATATATTCACTGGCCACAGCAATGGGCAGGTAAGAGAAGATACTGTTTGAGTGACATGAGAGGTGAGGTGAACACAGATAACTACAGAAAAGTATCATAAACCAAGTCAATCCTTGATAGTTTATATCTGATATATAGGGCTTGCTACTGAAACTCCAGCCTTCCAGAAATGCAAATATTCCTCTTAGAACAATGGCAGGTCCTAACTGCCACCAGGAGAATAATTGGTATGTTTGACTTCTTGCTGATGTCATCCCTCACAAGCAGATGGCATATATATAGGGAGATCCCCATTTAAAACATAACACTCTTAGGGCTCTGGATTTGAAACTACCAATAAACCAGGCAGCCTTAGAAAAAGTATGAAAATAGATTTTAGACCTTTACTGGGATGTCACTGTTTAAGCAGTAAGAAAACAGGATTGTAAGGACATATAGGGTAATGATTAGTTACTAATAAATGCTGCATTAAGTAACCTTTATTTCAATTGATTACAACCTGTTCCTGAAGATGAGTATTAGGATCCTCTCCTTTGTTCCAGACAAACTTGTATGTAAATAGCCACAGCGGAAATCTGTACTGGCTGCAAGTTTATGATCTGGTTCTTTGGCTGAAGCTGAAGTACTCAAAAATAATGTAGTGGAGCTTCTCTGAAGTACAGGATGATGATGGCCTTAAGAGATCCACATACTTGCACATTTTTAGTACTGAGTATGTCCACATTAACAGGGATTGTGCTGTTAGCACAGATTCCTGTATGCAGAGGCAACATGAGCCATATGGGCCTCTGTAGGTCTCCGCGTGCTGAAAGCAGCTGGACAACCAAAGTTAAACAAACACAGGATCATAAAGTGGTTGGGTTGGATGGGATCTCTCCCACTAGGTCAGGTTGCTCAAATCCCCCTCCAGCCTGGCCTTGAACACTTTTAGGAATGGAGCATCCACAGCTTTGTAGTCTAACCTCTGTCCCAGAACAATTCTGGGAAAATCAGCTCTGCCATCCAAAAGATCAGGAAGCTAACATTAGGACATAGGCCAAATATTGAAATATTGTTGCAGCTCATATCTCAGTGAATTCCTAGATCCTGAGAAACTGAACTGAATAGAGGTGACATGTGCCAGCTACTGAAAAAGAAAGAGCAATTTTAAGATCAACCATCAGTGTAAGTTCTGAATGTAAAGCCCTTATTTTTCATCTAGTTCCTTCCCCATCTGTAAAATGTGAGATGATATTTAGCATCCTGGGTCTTAGAAAATCACATTAAAGAAGAAGCATGAAAGATTCTCCTCAAAGTAAAAGAAAAATATTACTTTTTCCTCTTTTCCTCCATCTCAAATGCCAAAATGAGAAAGTCTTGATTCAAGGACAACACCTTGATGCAACACTGCAAGAGGTAAAATACACGTCCTTTGTAAGAATAGAAAAGTACAAAGCCAACAGCCTTACTTGTGTATATATTGTCTCCCTGTCAATTTGTGAACAGCTGCAGAATGCAAGCATTGTATATAAAGGTAAAACAACTTGTTTTTAATCTAAGCATCAGAGCTTTGTGATTTTTTTTCCCCCTAGCAAGTTACAGACTTTACATGTGACTTTTTCTTATTGTAGATCCTTTTCATTAAAAAAAAACAAACAGTTAAACTTTTCCTCTCCATTGTCAGAAGCAGGTTAGCTAGTGCAATGAATCTCTTACAATTAGAGTGTGCTAAAGCAAGGGATCTCTAACAAAATTTGAATCTATATTATATTTAGGATGAGAGGAGATGGCCTCAAGTTGCTCCAGGGGAGGTTTAGATTGGATATTAGGAAAAATACCAACTGAAAGGCTTGCCTAGCATTAGGACAGGCTGCCCAGGGAAATGGTTGAGTCCACCACCCCTGGGGATATTGAGAATGACTGTAAATGTGCCGCTAAGGGACATGGTTCAGTGGTGGACATGGGAGTTATAAATTGATAGCTGGTCTCAATGACCTTAGAGGTCTTTTCCAGCCAAGATGCTTTTATGATTCCATGATCTTACGGGAATGGAATGTCAACTTTCCACATTACTTTTGCCTGAAAACTTTTTACCTACTCCAGCTCAGGCTGGGCCCTTCTAAGTTGAGATTAATTTGAATTGCACCTAAGGTAGGCTGGTGCTCCATGAAATTAAATACTCCTGAGATACCCATCTAAGAGAGACTTCCTTTGTTTCTTCCTTCTCTTTGAAGAAAGTGAGGAGCCAGGGCAGTGACTTGCTGCTGGTGCTACAAGGCTCCACATCAGTACCACTATGGTATTTCAAGGGGTGGGATTTTGTTCCAATCTTCTGCTGCTCTTTCTCACAGAATTTCTCTGGGCATGCAGGAGCATTTAATCAAATTTATCAGAGGGATCACATAAAACCAATGTGAAATGTATATGGCTTCACATTTTTGTATTCCAGTTTTAAATGAGCAAATACTCCAGAATGCAATACTTACACTTGCCTGTCTTTCTATGTAAATCAGAGGATTAGTCTTTCCCTGCTGCTCATAAAGAATTGGCAGTAAGGTTGGCAGACCCAAATACTATGCTCTTTTAATCATGGAGGTTGTTCAGCTACCCTTCTGCACACTTACACAAGTTCTGGTGTAGTGTGTGTTGGAGTACCATAGTAAGATTTCTTAAGACACCATAAGCTTCTGTAGTGGGTTGACCCTGGCTGGATGCCAGGCACCCACCAAAGCCACTATCACTCTCCTCTGGATCTGGACAGGGGAGAGAAAATATAATGAAGGAGTGTTGAGATACGGACAGGAAGAGATCACTCACCAATTACTATTATGGGTAAAAGAGATTCAACTTCAGGTATTCATTGAATTTATTATGAACAAAGTCAGAGCAGGATAATGAGAAATAAAATAAATCTTAAAAACACCTTCCTCTTATTCCTCCTTCCTTCCCAAGCTCTACTTCCTCCCCTCAGAAGGGCAGGGACATGGGGACTGGAGGTTCCAGTCAGTTCATCACACCTTGTTCCTGCTCTGAATGAGAGGAGCAGAGGAGTCCCCTGCTCCAGAGTGGGGTCCCTCCTACGGGAGACAGTTCTCCGCAAACTCCTGCAGCTTGAGTCCATCTCGCAGGCAACAGGTCTCCACAAACTGCTGCAGAGTGGGTCACTCTTCCACGGGGTCCAGTCCTTCAGGCACAGCCTGCTCCAGTGTGGGTCTCCCACAGGGAGAAAGGAAACCTGCTCCAGCACGGGCTCCTCTCTTCATGGGTCTGCAGGGCCTGGCCAGGAGCCTGCTCCAGCACAGGTTTCCCAGGGATTCACAGTCCTCTCTCGGGCATCCATACCTGCTCTGGTATGGACCTCTTCCACACCTGTGGTCCTCCAGGGGCTGCAGGGGCACAGCTGCTTCACCATGGCCTGCACTATGGGCTGCAGGGGAGTCCCAGCTCTGGCGTCTCATGTACTTCCTCCCCCTTTTTTCCACTGACCTTGGTCTGCAGAGCTGCTCCACTCAATATTCTCAACCCACTCTTCTCTGGCTGCAATTACACCTGTACAATAACATTTTTCATTTTTAAATATGTTGCGACAGAGGCATTACTATCATTCCTGATGGGCTCGGCCTTGCCCAGTGGCAGGTCCATCCTGGAGCCTGCTGGCATTGGCTCTGTGGGACATGGGAGAAGCCTCTGGCCACTTGGCACAGTAGCCACCCCAATAGTCTCCCAGCTACCAAAACCTGGCCATGCAAACCCAGCACAGCTTCTCTCCCTTTCCTTCAGCTTTATCTATTAAAACCAATCTGTGCAGCATCCTATCTCTGTTCTGTAAGCTAATGAGTACAAGACAGTCTTTCTTTCCCAGATACAAATTTTTCAAGACATTTGGGAGCCTATTTTGGGTGATGGCTTAGTATTGTAAAATTCAAGCTGAGTTAAACAGAAAATTTAGAATTCTTTAAGTGGAACTTCTTACAATTTCCTCTCAATGTGAGAAACTTTATTATATCCCTATCTGAAATGCACTGTGTGTACAAACCAATTCTCAGTTACATTCTGCAGCACAGTGGACAAGCAGCATGCATGATTTACCCCCCCACACAAACTCTAATATCCAATCGTTTTTTAAGTAATATACATATGCATATGAAACAAAATAGTATAACCACATTATTGTTTGACTTCTCTATGTGACAAATGTTGTGGTGCAGGTTTTTAGCTAAGTAAGGCAACCATTCAGGTCTTTGTTCTTTCATTAATACCAGATTGTATTGCCCTTTTCTGTATCATATCAGAGGCTTGGCCACTTGTCTATCTACATAACTCTGATGGTGGATGTGAGACAAGAGTAACAAAAATGACCAAGGAACCATTCCCTGCATAGCTGTTTGGAGATATTTTTTGGAAAAAGTATCAAGAGAAATTGCAAGAAACTTTACAATGCTTATATAACCCGGGTAATTAAAACCAGGTAAAAATTAAGAGAAGAGAGCCTGGATTATTTTGACTGGTTTAACTAAGAAGATAAACCAAATCTAAACTGCTTATTTCTTCTATATTCCTAGAAACATAAGCCTGCATGTCACTTATAATATATATGCTCAATCTTTAAAAGAAATGTAAAAGCAAAATCCCATGTCTGAAGAATAAATGATATTGCTACCATAAGGCAAAGGGAGAAACAGAAAAAAATTAGTCCCTAAAAACACCACTGAGCCCACAGCTGCTACATTTATGTGGATTCAGTAGTGGAAATATGGCTCTGGTTTTGTGACAGAAAAATATTGCCTGGGTAAAACCAACAAAAATCCTGCTGTAATATGTGAACTACACAACATAATGCTTTTATTAGAAAATAAGCCATTGAGGAACCTGCAGTACACTCCTGTTTGTGTTCAATAGACTAAACAGGGAAACAAGTGGTCTGTTTGATTTATGGTGCACATAAATCTTGAGGGGAAAAAAACTTTAACATCAAACCTCTGTTCAAAACAGTGTTGCATGGAAACGTAAGTGATACTGACAGGAATGTCTGTTGGTCCAAGGAAGTTGGAACATATCTGATAAGTATTTTTTCTCTCTTGTTTGTGCTGCTTTGGCTTAAAACTATTAAAAACGAGGGACAAAAGTAAATCTAAATAAAAAATGAGACACAAAAATCATATCCACTGTGAACTTTTTATACACTGCTGCCTTGATAATAGAATGGTCTCCAAATACATTGAATTTTATGCTGACACTTTGTTTAGAAAAAAACATTAGGAGTTCATTATTTCTAAGCCCTAAGCAGGATTTTCTAATACTACTTGTTACATTGTGCACTAGCTCTTGTCTGCTTTAGCTAGTCAGGTTTTATATTTCTTCAGGGAGTGGACCACCATTAAAAAATTCTGTAAAAGATATTATTTCAGCTTCAAAGAATGAATGTTTCCTATTCTGAAGATGTACACAGTACATCACTATTGACAAGCCTTCCCTGCTTTGTCATCCTTGATAAAATTTTGCTTATTTGGGATATGTTTTTATACCAAACACCTCTAACCATAACAGAAGAAATATTCTGCTACTGGATAATGACTATCTTCCTTTGACTGGCTGCTGTGATATCTGGATACAATGATGACAGGCACATTATAAATAGGCACAGATCTCCCTGCCTCTATGAGGCCATTTATCACTTTGTTTGGAAGATCTTCTAATTACTCTTCCAATGTAGGTGGTCACAGTAGCTTGAAGGAGTTGCTTTAGATAGACTGCCAAATATCTAATTTGTCTTGTCATCCTTCACATTAAGTGCCTGTTTCTTGTAGGGTCATTTCTCTGTGCTCATTCTTCCTTGATAGCTTTGTTACCTTTGACACCATAGGCCACCTACTACTCCATAAGAAACTCCCACCCTTAGGTTTATGTGGCACCAACTCGCTGTTTCTTCATCTGGCTGACAGCATTAGAGTGTTAGTGCTGATGGATCCTTTATTTCTCCCCTGTCTCTGCTGGCATCTCTCAAGGCTCTATCATTATTCCCTTTTCCCTCTTCCCAGTCACCGTCTGGATGTCTTTGCCGGCTGTCCTGAACCCACTTATTTCCCAGTATTAATGACTTTTAAATCTGATGTTCTGCCTGCAGCCTTGCTTCTGTGGTGTCTTGTGCTGGATTCCTCATGGCTTCCTTAGATGCTGCATGCCTAAGGATGAATGTGCAACTTTCTTCATGGCAGCTGTGCTCTTTATCGCCAGTTTATGCACATGCCATGGTTATTCTGACTATACTTTCAGTTCTGTCTCCTTGTAAGCATTTCCTTCTAAAATACTTCTAAAATCCTTCCAAAATACTGTAACCTGCATCACTGTTCTTCTATCACCTCTGCCTAATTTTACCAAAATTCTTTTCCAATGGACTGAATTGAACTTGCTCTGATCTTTATTTTCCTTTGGTATTAGCTCCTGTTCTGTTTGTTATAAAACTTGTTCCTTAAGGCAATTCCCTAACTCCTTTCTAAATCAGCAAATTTGGCATATGTTTATGCTAAAGTATTTTGAGACTAAATCTGAAAAATATAGAAGAGTTTATTTGTTCAAAATAAAGTATACTTTTAAGCCATTATGGTAAAAAACTTTGACACCATGTATATTTGTAACACTATCAAAAATATTTACTTTATACTATAGTGGTAAACTGTGTCTCTGTGGCAGTACTGTTTCTATCTTCATGAATATGATATAAGATTTTCTATTGCAATGTATTATACAGTAATTTCTAATTTTCTTTATCCAAAAATATATAGCTGTAGCAAGCTGCAACACGGGAATGTTGCTTTCCAGACTGAAGCAAATATGGTATCTCTAAGCTAGTCCCCCAGACTGATGAAAGAACAGAGGTGGATTTTGAACCTGATTATCACATAGTGTAGGCATGTATTCTCATAGACTACATCTGACCACTCTCCCAGTTCTTTGATGGTAGATACAGGGAATGTTTTATTTTACAAATTACAGCAATTACAGCATAAGATAGGCAGGGAAAAAAAATCATTTTAATTCCATTTTATGAAGTTATATCGCTTCATAGAAATGAAGTTGAATAAATTACTTATCTGACAGACAACAAGCACGTCTAGGCAGGTAAGAAGGAGTTTTGTAATTGGTGGTACTGAGTAAATGTTAGACCATTTACAACACATCAAGTCAGATTTGAATCATCATGTTAGAAGATTATTCAGCAACCAGCTGATATCCTTTGTGGCTAAGAAATACTGGAAATATGCTGGTGATTGCTCAGAGATTTCAAACAGTGGTACTGCTTAGTATTTTTCACTTTCCTCTATTTTTCCTTTCATATTAAGGTTGCACTGTAAAGTTGAACACTGAAGATCAGTCAAGATGTGTAGTGACAAATAGTGAAAATTTCCCAAGAACAGCATTTTCAAAGTGTTGTTCTGAAAGTGACAACTGTATAGCACCTAAAATCTGAAGAGCAAGAAGATTTGTAAGTATCAAAGCAAACTTATCAACTAACTACTTGGCATATTAATAATGGAAATAATGGAGGGAACCCCTGGATATAATGTAATAAACCTGTTTATCTTAACTCTGCAGGTTTTATCTTTGAGTCTTAACTGGAAAGTGCTCCAGATATGGTCACTGATGGTCAGGATCATGAATATTTAGAACAAGTATGTAGCTGCCCTTTATGGATAAAGAGATTGACCTCAAGCTCTGACTGTGCAGAAATCTATAGTAGAGCTTACAGCTGTGAAAAAAAACCCAAACCCAAACCAAACCCCTTGATATTTCCATTAATGAGTACCAGCATGGAGGGTTAATTTATGAGAAACAGGGTAGGAATGCTCAGAGTTGAACTGTGTCCCACTGTGACAACCTGATTGTCATTATTCTGTAAAAAACACCTTCTGCTCTCCCTGCCTTACAGTGTCTACGGAAATTTTCCCAGCTTTCAAGGTGTTACTATTAACAAACATTGGACCAAATCCAACCCGAGTTCTTCTGCATTAGCTATTTAATCTGAGAGAAGGTTGTATCTCCCTTGCCTAGTGTGACCTTAGTACAATAATCAAAATGGTAGTATATTTAATTTGCTGAGAATACTTGTTTACATCTGATCTCTTCTTGTCCCTTCAGGGTCCTTTTAAGGAGATATTGGCTATTCCTTACCAATACAGATGGCAACACTGACTTGTGTATTCACAGAAATTGAAATTTCACAGAAATCTGTGAGGACAGAAACCCATAGAATAGTCCCATACTTAAAATGAAAATGTCAAATCTTGGTTTTCATACTGATTTTACAGAAGTCATTGCACAAAAACATTTGCACATATCTAATTTTAGAGTGAGGACAATTACTAAGTTGCAGGTGTTGGGATACCTTTTTCCTACTGGTTTGCTATGCCATTCATGAAGAGCATTCATGCTCTTGTTCATCATCAACCATGTTTATTCTTCCTGCATAAAAGGCAGGCTTGTACATTTGTACTATGCAATCAATACTTATTCAAAAAATAAGATTCCTAATAGACCACAAAATGAGAACT